GCTTTGATCTGACCGTTTGCCTGCCTTCGGGGAGCGGAAATTCTGGTCCTCTCCCAGCTGTGGTAAGCAAACTGGGGCAGACTCTGTCCCTCTGGGCAAGGCTTTGGTCGGTTGTCCAAATGTGCCCCTGCCTCATTTAGCATGAGTGTTTCCTGTTTGGGGGTCAAGTTTTAGCTCGTTTTGTTAATAATAAAGGTGGCTTTTAGAAATTTCCACTTTTGCATCTCCTAGGTTCCTATTTCTCAACAGGTTCCAAATAGAGAACCTCCACCCCCACCTTGGAAAGTCCCGTCACCACCCTGAACAAGGTAGACAGGGTCCGAATACTCATGTGGCTTCTGTGCACATAAGTCACCTTGCTTTCTCTGTCATTCTTTTACTATATCCCGTTTAGTTCTTTCGTGGCACTTCATCAAAATCGGAAATATTTTCATTTGCCTGTTTATTTGTTTATCGCCTTCCCTCCCCCCCCCCCACACCATCTCCCACCAAGAGGATGCAAACCCTTCGGGGTCAGAGACCTGGCCCACCTTGTGTTTTGCTAAAATCCCAGTAGCTAGAAAAGTACATGACTATTCAACACGTATTTATTGAGCACTGACTAGATACAGAGATGTAACGGCATAAAAAACAAAATCCCTGCCCCTGTGGAGCTTATATGCTGGGGGGGTGGGGGGGGCCGGAAATAAAATAAGTAAATAGATTGTATAGTATATTAAAAGGAGACAAATGCTATAGATTAAAACAGATCCAGGAAGGGGAATAATGCTGAGATTAGTGTTTCCATTTTAAGTAGGGTGGTCAGAGAAGACCTGGGCAAGAAACATCTGAAGAAGGACTTGAAGGGAGTGAAGAAGGGAGCCAAGGGGGTATCTGTGGGAGAGCATTCCGAGCAGAGGTAACAGAAGGCCCTGAGTCAGGAACAGGCCTGGCAGGGCCAGTGTGGCCAAAGCAGAATGAGTGTTAGAGCAAGTAGGAGGTGACGTCTGTGGCTCTTTAAGACGGGAGCTGCTGGAAGGTTTTGAACAGAGAAGTGACCTGATCCCCTTATGTTTTAAAAGGATCACTCTGCTAGGTGGAAAATAGACCTGAGGGGAGCAAGAGGAGGGGCATAGAGACCAGTTAGGCAAGAGGTGCAATGATCCAGGCAAGAGGAATGGTCCAGGTGAAAGGAAGGTCTGGGGCTCAAACCAAGGACCTGGGACTCAAACCAAGATGGCAGCAATGAAGGTAGGGAGAAGTGGTTGGATTCTGGATCTATGGTGAAGGAAGAGCCAACAGAATTTGGGAGAGGATGTGAGAATGGATAAGAAGAGGGAGGTCAAGATGACTCCAACTATTAGTAGCAACCATTCATTGAGATGGTGAGGAGTATGGGTGGAGTAGAAGGGAGGGGAAGATAATGGGTTCAGTTTGGGACATGTTAAATCTAGGATACGCATTGGGGCGCCTGGGTGGCGCAGTCGGTGAAGCGTCCGACTTCAGCCAGGTCACGATCTCGCGGTCCGTGAGTTCGAGCCCCGCGTCGGGCTCTGGGCTGATGCTCAGAGCCTGGAGCCTGTTTCCGATTCTGTGTCTCCCTCTCTCTCTGCCCCTCCCCCGTTCATGCTCTGTCTCTCTCTGTCCCAAAAATAAAATAAAAAAAAAACGTTGAAAAAAATTTAGAAAAAAAAAAAAATCTAGGATACGCATGAGACTGTGAAGTAAGGTTGTCAAGTAGACAGTGGGGTCTAATAGACCTGGAATTTGGGAGACAGGTCTACACTACAGACATCTGTTGAGCGTCTTTAGTGCACAGATGAAATTTAGTCATGAGATGGGATGAAATCACTCCACGGGTGATTACAGCAAGAGAGGAGGTCTCTGGACTGAGCTGGGGGAACTCCCAACATTAATGAAGCAAGGAGTGGACAGGGCGCCTGGGCGGCTCAGTCGGTTCAGCGTTGGACTTTGGCTCATGTTATCTCACGGTTCCTGAGTTCGAGCCCTGCATCAGGCTCTATGGTGACAGCTCAGAGCCTGGAGCCTGCTTCGGATTCTGTGTCTCCCTTTTTTTCTGCCACCCCC